CGGGCACGCGGGACCCTGGGGCACGAGCTCACCGCCGGCCCCCGCAGACGCCGTGTGCGCCCCGGGCGGGCCAGAGCAGTGGCCCCCAGGGGGGCCGGAGGTGTCTGCTCGCGGGACCTGGTCTCGTGTGCCCACCCCGCCTGCCCAGGCCCAGCAGCTGTGCGGCCTTGGGACAGCCGCACGACCTCTCTGAGCCTCGCTTCCCTGCGGTGAGAATAGCAGCACCTCCCCGGCCTGCTCCGGGGACAAGCTGGGACTGGGGAGGGGAGGTACGCTAGGTGTTTCCCACCTTTTCTTCTTAAGGTTTCTGCTGGCCTTCTGGTAAGTGTTTAAAAAACATCAAGTCTATAAACTCCCCTGGGGAACGTGGCACCTACACCCACAGGTGGTGATGGCCCCCGTTCAGCAAAGCACTCCTCAGGGTCGTCTGCACGATGCGGTGCAGCTTTCCCTGCCCCCACCCGCCGCCCAGCCACTCGCTCTCAGCCCTGACCAGTCACCTTGGCAAAGAAATATGGGCCAGCGGTGTACAGCCCGTCTTCTAGTTCATAGTAAAGCATTGCCCTCTCGGAGTGACCTAGGAGAGGGGAGAAGAGGAGGATGAAAGTGAAATGAATTGACAGTGTTTCTGTTTTTCAGTCTCTCTTAGTACAATTAAAAAGTTATATTGCCTAAATGTCTTATTAAAAAAAACAAAACCAGGCAGAGTGCAAGCGCCCTGATTTGGATGCTGCAATTCTGTGGCTTGTACCTGCTGTCAAGCACGAATCCTGCTAGGAGAGGGATGCCTCAGATGCATCGGTGATTTGCTTTCATTTGCATACTAATAGTAATGTGTGAACTTTGCAAACAATTATCATCGTTGATTTCACAATCATGGTGACAATTATTCAGTAAACCTGTTCTCCCTGGGAGCGCAGAGCACACAGGTCGGCTCCGGGCCAGTTCAGGGGGTGGCCGAGGCTGAGTGCCCGGCCGCTCCATGCATGGGCCGTGGGGGCCCGGGGCGCTCACATTTGGCGATGACGTCCAGGACCACGTTGAACGGGATGAGCGCTCCGATCATGAACAGCAGGGCGGCCGTGTCCATGAAGGAGAGCTTGACGGCCCCGTGGCCGTAATAGAGGAACCCGATGACCAGGGACATCAGGCAGGCCTCCGCCCCGTGGATGAGGAGGGTTGGCAGGTCTCGAAAGTCGTTGGAAATCTGACGACTTAAAAAACAAAAGAAAGGGTTGCCAAGGGAACAGCCTGCAACCACCCTGTGACCTTGGCCACGTCAGTGAACCTCTGTAAGCTTCATTTTTCTCATCTGTAAAAAGGGGATAGACGGCTTCACAGAGGTGCTGTGAGCTCACTGATGAAAGCGTCTGCCTCATGGTAGGTAGTAAATGATTGTGTTACTTTTATCATCGATGTATCTGCCCTGAGCTTTTACTTAAAGAAGTCATCCGGCTTGGCTGGGCGTGGCTCAGGGGTTGAGCGTCGACCTAGGATCCTGGCAATCGGGGTTCGATTCCCTGTCAGGGCACATGCCCGGGTTGTGGGCTCTATCCCCAGTCGGGGGCATGCAGGAGGCAGCCAATCAGTGACCCTCTCATCATGGATGTTTCTCTCTCTCTCTCCCTTCCTCTCTCTGAAATCAATAAAGATGTATTTAAAAAATAAAAATTAAAAAACTAAAGAGATATATATATATATATATATATATATATATATATATATATATATATATAAAAAG